GTGCAACTGATTGTTCCTTCCTAAATGGAGTATTTGTCCTTATTGAATTTCATCCTATTTACTTCAGACCATTTCTCCTGTCCAGATCATTTTGAATTTTAATCCTATCCTCCAAAGCCCTTGCAACCCCTCCCAGCTTAGTATCGTCTGCAAACTTTATAAGTATATTCTGTATGCCATTATCAAAATCATTGATGAAGATATTGAACAGAACTGGTCCCTGCGGGACCCCACTCATTATGCCTGATTATAAAGAGTGAAGCCATCACAATGTAAACAAATGTTCCACCAACCTGCATTGCAGAAATCTGACTCTACACAAAAGTTAGGCAGAGAAAGGTAATTTCATTTCATGGAGGATTTCAATAATTTGAAATTTGGTTTTATTCTGATCAAAATTTTCTAAATTATTATTGACAAACCATCAAAACAAAGAGGAAAAGTAACCAAATAAGAGATAAATGCCAATAAATTAATCTAGTCACGTACTCTGACATGCATTAGCAGGCACATTGCCAGCAGATCGAGGAAAGTGATTATTCCCCTCTATTCGGCACTGGTGAGGCAACATCTGGGGTATTGCATCCAGTTTTGAGCCCCCCACTACAGAAAGGATGTGGACAAATTGGCGAGAGTCCAGCAAAGGTCAACGAAAATGATTAGGAGGTTGGTGCACAATACTTATAAGGAGAGGCTGAGGGAACTGGACTTATTTAGTCTGCAGAAGAGAAGATTGAAGGGAGATTTGATAGCAGCCTTCAACTACCTGAAGCGGGGCTTCAATGGGGATGGAGCTCGGCTGTTCTCAGTGGTGGCAGATGACAGAACAAAGAGCAATGGTCTCAAGTTGCAATGGGGAAGGTCTAGGTTGGATATTAGGAAAAACTATTTCACTAGGAGGGTGGTGAAGCACTTCAATGGGTTACCTAGGGAGGTGGTGGAATCTCCATCCTTATTGGTTTTTAAGGCCCGGTTTGACAAAGCCCTGGCTGGGATGATTTAGTTGCAGTTGGTCCTGTTTTGAGCAGGGGTTTGGACTAGATAACATCCTGAGGTCTCTTCTAACCCTAATCTTCTATGATTCTATTAATTGGTTTGGGGAAGATGATTATGAAGATGTGGGCTTTTGGGAAAGGCAAGTAAAACCCGTTTCCTACAAAATACAAACATCCACCATAGAAGACACACTTATTTCTTAAAATATGATGGAATTGGGAGAATTTTGAGGCTTTAACCTGACAGACAAAGATAGTCTTTCAGCTGAGAGAGCGCTTTTTTTATTGCCAAGTTGCATGTAATAGTCCATAGCTAGTAACATAAGCTTTGAGCCCATTTGGTAACATAGAATAGTAGAATCATAGCAGAGTAATCAAGTAATAGAATCATAGAAACAAACTTGCATTATGTCTTCTGACAAACATCTGTCTTGTATTCTCTTTCTTGGTTTAGGCCCTGATTCAACAGAGCACTTAATGCACATGCTTAATTTGAAGAATATGAGTAGTGCTATTGATTTTATTGAAACAAGTCATGTACTTAAAGTTAAGCACGCATGTAGATGCTTTGCAAGAATAGGGCTTTAGTTTGTTTCCTCTTTGATATTTTGGAAATTATTCCTGATTGTCTGCACATACCTGTGCAAAAACTTGTATAAATCAGAAATGATGCCTCAATTCCTATCTGGATTTGCAATGATAGCGGGTACTAAAGCAGATAGTATTATTCATTGCACATAAATTATCCAGTAAATGTAGTCCCTTTTTCTGTTTGTAGCTCACTATTACATGCTATTAGCATATTACCTGTTCTCATCAGTGCCTGACCTACAAAGGAGGTGGTTGTTTTGAGCTGATCCCTTCACTTAAGGTCTAGCGCTTCGTGCTCTTAGTTCTTGAGATCCCCTGTTCAATCCCCGGTGTCAGCCAAGAGAACAATTGTCACATGTTTGTGTTTTGTCCATCAACAGACTAGGAGTGTGACTAATTTAATCACTATTCATAATTGTTCAAACAACTAATGAAAATAAAACATCATCAGATGCGCTGTTTGCAAACTGCTCATTTCCATTTGCTATTCGTGGGGTGTGATTGATCACCTAAATCATGCTGTTGTTTCTCATCCTTACCTGGTTGAATGAAAATTTAAACAGAATAACAACAAATGACAGACAGTGGATAATGAATAATAAATACTCTTGCTTGCGCACAAATACCCTTGTATGCATGCAAACATGAATATTTATTCCCCAAATATTTGGGTGAACAAAACCACATTTTATGCAAATGGTGTGGTTAGATTTTTTAAATAATCTTTTAAAAGAAAAACAGAGATTTCTATCTTCCTTCCTTTCTTTTTTAACCATTTATTCTCCTCTTCCTTTTCGAAAATATTGTGGACTGCTTAGCCCAAGCTTTAGCCTGACCTTTAAACACTTTTCTTAAAAGTAACACATAACCCTCTATAATTTCCCAAAGTAAAGAGCATATTTCTGACACAGAACCATTTAATAAATAAGCGTCCTTCTAAAAACATACCCAAATTATATGCCAGATAAGACTTTCCAGCCCTGTCACAGCGCTGGATTCACACGTTTTATTGGGTCAACTCATGAAACATGATTAACCTCAGCAGCGCCATCTGTTGGGGAGCTTATACAGTATAGTTTACTGTATCTTGGAGCCTTTATTGTGACCTGCAAAAAACCTACATCACAAAGGACAAATAAATCTGCAGCCTTTGTCCCTGTGCTGTTTTGCAGCATGGACTCTCTCCTGACTAATCTCATTTGGAGGTATAAAATGTTCTGCATTTTCTGTGGATTTGCCTTTTTCTAGATGACAGATTTTTAGATTGCAGGAAACAGCAAATGTGCTGTTCATAAAAAATAATAATAATAAAATGAACTCTTAAAAGGCTGCTTCAAACAACATTGGTTTCATTCAATCTTTTAAAGTGTACTTGAGCAAGCAGTTTGCACTATCATATAAATATACAATAAAAGGTGATTACTCATAATGGATATTTTATATGTCATCGTGATAAGATGGGAATGGAATGGAAAATATTTTGGTTAAGGCCTTGGATTTAATTCTGTACACTATAGTAAACTGTGGAGGCAGCATGATACATTGGCTAGAACAGTGGATTGGGACTGACTGGGTTTCTGTTCCCAGCTGTGTCATTAACTTACTGATTTTAACCCTTGATGGCCATTTCACCTTTCTGTGCCTCTGTCTTCCCTCCCAAGTTTTGTCTATTTGGATTGTAGGATCTTTGGGGCAGAATCTCATACTATGTGTTCCTATAATTCATACCACAGTGGAGCCCCAAACTCAGCTGAGGCATATTGGTGCAACTGTAATATAAATAAATAATAAAGAGAAGCTGGTATGTGTGGATTCTGTAGCAACACAGCCCTCAGCTAAATAAATGCAATTCCCATTGCAGTGTGGGTAAAATCATGTCTTTCTCAATTGCTCATCAGTCAGTCTCTTGGGATATCATAAATTCATTTGTTCTCCAGTCACTGTAGAGTTTTTGAGAGTAGACAAGATCTGAATTGCTAATGTTTAAAAAAAGCAGTGGTTTTTTATTTAAATACAAACAAACAAAATAGTTACAGGATTTTTATACATAATAAAGAGGCAGGCAAGGTTGTTTTTTTAATGGGCAGCCTACTTGGCAGGCATAGTTCAGTGGCTGCTCAAAACAAAGAGGGATATTTCATATATATTAGTTTTTAACTATTTTTATAATTGATCTCTTACCTATAGTGACTGTCTCTTACTATTTTACTTTGGGCCTTGTCTGAATCCATTTGCAGTAGCTACCTTAATTTCAAAAGAACAAAATAACCATAAATAAGGGGTGCCCGATATACAGTATGACCCATTTCATGGGGCTTCATTTGGCAGCTGTGTGCTGGTGTGTCCTCCCATTAGTGAGTTACATCCAAATCTCAAAATGTACTTCATGGACCAGATTCAAGTCTGAGAAATGGATCCTTTGCTCTGATCTCTAAATTGGCAGGTGGGTAACCCTCTGGAATAGCCAGCTCTAGCCTGCCTCTCTTGGTACCCCTCACCATAGAGGGCTTGGCTGGAGCAATTTCTCTCTGGTAGCCCTTTGGTGACCAAACCAAACTGGTGTAATGTGAAGCAGTCCTGTGGCTACTCTAAGTTACACCATGGGCTGAAACTCCCCCAGAGACAAGTGGAGCAAAGGGTGGTGTGCAGCTCCATGTATTCTGTCACAGCTGGGATTTCAGCTCATAAAAGAAAACTGTACCCATTTTTGTTCTGCAGTTTTGAAACTATACATAAGAGGCATCAATCACATATAAATATCATGAGCTAGATTAGGTGGAGCTTTCTTCAGATTTTTCTGCTGGGGACAGGACAGCTGTACCACCTCTGTGGCTTCCTGCCTTCTGACAGCAGAACTCTGGAAATTTGCTATAAAATTTTTAAAGTAAGCTCAACATTTTACACCAGGACAAAATCATAGTATGTGTTACTGTGGAACCCAAAATCCTACCTCTTCAGAGCTGTTACATTTAAAGCTCCCCTTCTCCCCATCATAGGGTTATGAAAGTCTTGGCTAAATCTATATTAACATTCAGTGATATCTGAGATCCAGTAAATAGTCTGTGTCCCATAGATCGTGCACTATAATTTCATATGTGCATGCACCTGTTGTAATTTATAAGACCTTTGGGAGGCAGTGTGGTCTAGTGAATAGAGCACTTGACTGGGACTCAGCAGACCTGCATTCTATTCCCAGCTCTGTCACAGGCCTGCTTCACCTCTCTGGGCCCCTGTTTCCTCATCTGTAAAATGGGACTAATGATACTTACCTCCTTCATAAAATACTTTGAGGTCTATGGATAAAAGGTGCCCTATAAATTCTAGGTATCATTCTTCACCAAATACCCATACTTCTTTGGCTTATCTTTTCACTTGTACCATGGCATGAAATATCTCAACTTCTTTTCTCCACAGAGAGATCTCCCAGAATGATGCCTTGGAAGTCATCGAAGCTAATGTGTTTTCCAACCTTCCCAAACTACATGAAATGTAAGTAAGTGAGCAACATAAGATCATAGGATAGAAATCTAAAGACTAGTGGTGGCCAGATATCAAAGGGTTTGATTCAGATGTACTTTAAAAATTCAAATGCATACATGTATGCTTGGGATCTCTCTTTTCATCTGTCTATTTCCTTCTCTTCCCACCCACCCTTTCCTTTCTCAACCAGATGCTTCCTCAACTATTAGCAATAGTTGAGGAAGCATCTGGTTGAGAAAGCATATAGTAAAATAGATAGAGGGCTGGGATTCTGACTCTGCTAGGTTTGGGCTGGCTGCTCCTTTGGGGTCATGTAGAGTTATCCCCTGTCAGAAAAGCCCCCAAATGTATTGCTATCCTCAGAAGCCCTGGATCTATTTAAAAAGGCACTGATCCATTTGCTGTAATGTTTTATTTTCTCCTTTTGCAGAAGAATTGAGAAAGCAAATAACCTTGTGTACATTGACCAAGACGCCTTCCAGAATCTTCCTAGCCTCAAATATCTGTAAGAATTTTTACACTTGCAATTATGATAATTGTTTGAAACAATATGAATGCATTTCAATTATCTTTCATACAAATGTTCATAAACATTTTCACTCTGTTTCCTTTCAACAATGGCAGTGTTTCAGCAATGGCTTTCATTTATACTTCATTTATACTCATTGGATGATTAAATCCTTTTAATATGAGTTCATTTGGTATTCAGCTTAATTTTAGTTTCATTTAAATAGCGCTCCTCGTTGTGAATGTCGCTTGCACTACTGCAGTTGCCATATCTGCTCCCATGGGGATGCCATCATAATTCGGTGATAATTAAATTTGCCCTTAAAATAAAGTATAATCCAAAAATATTCTTGCAGTTTATAGCATGCAACCTTAACCTGACTGATAATCTCTCCTCAGCCATGTATTAAAAAAACAAATGAAATCCAATGGACTCTATTTAACAGTAATTTTGTTTAGTGTCTGCGAACTTAAATAAGCTCCCTGGGTCATCTTTGATGTACAGCCATAGATAGTCCAGGATATCAGATTAATTTTTTTCATGCCCTAAAGATAAAAGCCCAAATATTGCTTTCCTTACTCATGGAAGCAGTCCCATTGGCCACAGTTTTCAGATGTGTGTATCTAAGTTTAGACACCTAAATCATTGTTTAGGCTCCTAAGTAAAAGTGGACTGGCTTTCAGAAACTGAGCAGGCACATTTCCCATTTACTTCAGTAAACATTGTGGGTGCACAACACATCTGCAACTGAGATCTCTTTTAGTTAAGTGTCTAAATAAGGATATAGCGAGCTAATTTTAGAAATCCAAGGCCACTAAGTTCTGTATTACAGCTGGTTACTAGACAGAAAAAATCCTTAAAGGCATCTGCACAGACATATATGAAAAGTTGCCCTTTCCTTGTCAGGTTGGCTCTCCTGAATGGATTTGGTCACTTTTTTGCAACCAGAAAAATATAATGTGCAATATGGACAGGCAATTAAAATTATCTGGTCAATGAAGGGCCTGATCTGATGTCAGTGGAAATACTTTCTTTGACTTCAGTGGGATTTGGATCAGAAGTGCTGTGGACCTTGAGGGGTACCAGTAGGTAGCTCATCATTACCCTGATAAGGCACCTCTTAACTTGTTTTGTCGTAAGCAAAATGTATTGATCCCCAGAAGTCACTGAAGGACACATTTACTAGACATCAAATCATTCTTATAGTTGTGGGATTGGGGGTCTGTGTCTGTTTGGGAAGCTCAGCCCGTAAAGAGAGTCTGGGCAGGGTGCTGAGAAGCTCTCGTTGTTGTTTAGCACAGTTAGTTGGGACTGGACTTAGAATAAAGCAAAGCTTTTGCAAAGTGTTGTAATTCATTGTAGTTCTTGCATCTTTTTCCATATGCCATGGGTTTTTGTGGCTTGTGCTGTTTGCCACAGTGTGTGCAGTGCCATGTTCTGTCTTTGGTGGATTCCAGCTTTGAGCTCCACATGCCTTTCTGCTTTAGGTCTCTTTTCGTGTAGTATTATGGATTCTTTACCATGTCCACAGTGTCAGAGCAGTGTACACCCTCCATAAACTCCAGTCTGGACTGGGTGACTTCTTTTGCTTGGCAATTCGATGAGTTGTTTGTCCCTGATCCTAATCATGATCTGGTATGAAGCTGTTATGCATAGCCAGTTGGAACTGGACACATAATAAAGAAGAGCTCTTGCAAGCATCTTAAGCATTGAATAATATAATCTCTCTACACCTACTCAATTTTCTCCTCTTTATGGGAGCTTGGGTTTTTGTTGGCTCTTGGGACAGCACCATCACGTGTTCAAAATTGATCCCTGTTTATGTGGATACCACTTTAGATATCTGCTGACAGCTGAGTCAACATACCCCTGGACAGGTCTTTTTTTATGCCCATTTTCTGGTGGCTACACTGGCCTCCTGAACAGAGAAGTAACTGTGGACATTTGAGGCAGCAGTAGCCTCACCTTTAATGGACTTTCTGCATCACAGGCCACTGCTAAGTTCTATACCAGCAGATGGTATAGTAGATTTTGGGCTGAGTTTGGATTTTAGAGTTGTGGCAATTTAAAGCTGCATAAACATTCATTATTTAAACCCTGGTAAACTGAAATACATGGCTTGAGCTGCTGTACTCTGTGATTTCTGTATTATCTTTATTGCATTGTAGTTATATATTTACCAACGTTGCGCCAATATAGTCTTGGCTGTGATTTTATTTCACGCTGATCTGCTGATGGTATAGATGAAAAACTAGTGTAGTTCATCAGAATGTTACACACTTCACTGAGAAACCAAGAGTGATTTTAAAAAAAATCATGAAATGTGCTTAAACTATAGAACTAAGAACTAAGTGCAAATTTGTTGATCTGATTTTTATTTTCTCCAAATAGTGTTTGATGTCAGGTACTTTTCTCCTTTACCTTAACTTCTGGCCTTTCATATTGCAACATGTGGGGAAAATTATTGATTTTTAAATAAGGTTTACACTACATTCCCTTCCCATCGTGTCCAGTTGCTGTAATTGTCAGTCAGCTGGATTTTGCTCTTTTTCATTCAGTAAATTGTAGTTTAATCTCAGCAACCCTTTCGCATACCCTGCTGCTCCCCACCCCTAATAAGTGTAATCTTCCAGTTCCATTCTGTAGCTTTTAGACCTTGTTATGATGTTGCTTCATTCTGCTAATGTCAGTTATTCTGTCAGGTTTATCTAATCTATAGAATCCGGGGAACCTCTACCAGCTCGGATTCCTACTGGCAAGCTCCCCACACTTTTCATTTTGTTCAGAGTTTTGAATTAAATCGGGAATTTGATTTTTTTTTCTTAAGATAAGAAATTAGAAGGTTTTGCTCTGGCATATAGTTTCAGTTGCTAGAAGCAGTTATACTCAGGTCAGAGCATTTTCCTTTTTAAGGCAAGATTCAGTAGCCAAAGTTCCATCTCTACTATTATGGTGTGCTATTAATAAGATGAATAGGACACCTACCTCTTGCTCCATCAGGTATAGCATCAGGAGTATCCAAATGAATGAGGCAAGAGTTGAATCCCTGAGTCATAGGCAGCACCATCATCTAAATCTCTTCCTCGTTCACACCCCACGCCCTGCTCCCACCTAACCTCAAATGCCTGCAGCCCAGCTAGTGACACAGAAGAAGCTCGTCACTGTGTTTCCCTGAAAAGACAGTGTTCTTTTATTAATTCCACCTTGACCTAGTGCCACTCTTTGTGGAATCAGCCCCTCCCACTTATTTCCTGGCCCAGATCCTGCCCTAGAGGCAGAATAGCCACCCACCAGAGGATTCCCTGGGTAGAGGACTCTTTGGGTATCTCCTGCTTCACCTCCGACTCCTGGCAGTTGGTACAACAGGTGTGGAAAAGGAGCTTGGCCAGAATTCCCGTATGTTCAGTGATTCCCAACTGCCAAAACGTCTCCTTGTAACTGACGATAGTCAGCATAAATTATATCAACTTTAATGTGCACGCAAAGAGCCTGATTCTCCTCTCCCAGTGGTGTTAATCAGGAGTAACTGTAATGGAGTTAGACCAGCGTGAAACTGGTGCAAATTAAAGGAAAACCAGTCCTTTTTTTGTCACACTACAATAATGCAAATACAGCTGAAGGTATTTCTTTCCTAATTGTGCTCCCCCAGTCCTGGGGCCAATTCAATTCCCATGGTGGCTGCTCTAACTTTCACACAGCTATCCTCGGGGGCCATTATTGCAGTCAGAGCATTGGAGTGAAGGGCTGCCCTTCCCTCATAGACAGCGGTCAGGAGGGGAATGATACAAGGCACTACCCCAAAAAAGGTGTAACGTGAGAAGAGGTGGGCAAAAAATGAAGATGAACTCAAGGATGAAGGGAAGATGGAGATGGTAGTTGGAGAGGTAAGTTTTTCAGGAGTGGGGAGAACAAAGACGCTTGTATTTTTTTTATAGGAACCAGGGGATAAGGAGGAAGGTAAGGGAGAGGATGTTAGCAAGGGAGGTTAAGAGACAGAAGGGGAAGGAGTCTTTGGAATGGATAAAGGAATCAGAGGGGGTGGGAACCTGACAAGAAATGTCAATGGCAGTAAGAAGGAAGAAAGGGGAGTGTATTCAAGGAGAAGGGGAACCGGAGGAAGGCTATAGCAGATTTTTATCTTCCTGACTCCCTCAAGAGAAGATACTTGAATACTGTGTACAGATGTGGTCCCCTCATCTCAAAAAAGATATACTGGCATTAGAAAAGGTTCAGAGAAGGGCAACTAAAATAATTAGGGGTTTGGAATGGGTCCCATATGAGGAGACATTAAAGAGGCTAGGACTTTTCAGCTTAGAAAAGAGGATACAAAGGGGGGGATATGATAGAGGTATACAAAGTCATGAGTGGTGTGGAGAAAGTGAATAAGGAAAAGTTATTTACTTGTTCCCATAATATAAGAACTAGGGGCCACCAAATGAAATTAATGGGCAGCAGGTTTAAAACAAATAAAGGAAGTTCTTCACACAGCGCACAGTCAACCTGTGGAACTCCTTGTCTGAGGAGGTTGTGAAGTCTAGGACTATAACAGGGTTTAAAAGAGAGCTAGATAAATTCATGGAGGTTAAGTCCATTAATGGCTATTAGCCAGGATGGATAAGGAATGGTGTCCCTAGCCTCTGTTTGTCAGAGGATGGAGATGGATGGTGGGAGAGAGATCACTTGATCATTACCTGTTAGGTTCAGTCCCTCTGGGACACCTGGCATTGGTCACTGTTGGTAGACAGGCTGGATGGACCTTTGGTCTGACCCAGTATGGACATTCTTATGTTCTTAAGATCTTGCACAGAAAGCAGGGAAGGATGGTTGAAACTGGAGTCAAAAGTAGCCAAAAGGTGACAGTGCTTGTGGGCATAGGAGAATGAGGGTGATATGGAAGACTGCAGAACTTAAAAAGAAAAAAACAGATTTGTGGAGAAAATCCACCTGCTCATGGAACTTTCTGCAGAGGCATTCAGTGACATGCAACAGGAGTTGGG